GGAGAGTTTTCTGATTTTAAAATGAAATGTTGTCGCCCTTTTTTCAAAAATGGTAAAGGATATGAACTGGAGACTTCTTAGAGATGATAGATGATGGCTTTTAGACGTGCACTTTTTCGTGCATCGTAATTACTTCCGGATGCTACCGGAAGAGAATATAAAAAGTCGAATTTTTCAACTTTTGCTTTTTAATATTTTTTGATAATATTAGGATGGTTATTCGGACGGAAGACCTCTCGTTACTCGCAACGAGTTTCTAGTTATTCTTTTTTTTTAGACAAAATTTTGTGCACACGATTTCTCGAAAACTATTCAATGAATTTCTAAAATTTTCAGAGATAAAAGATCTTTATATGACTTTTATAAATTCCGTTTTTTTTTTTGGTAAATTTGGTTCCAGTGCCAAGTTATGGACAATTTTCTGATTTTAAAATGAAATTTTGTCCTCGAAGGATCTAAGGAAGGGCATTGAATTATGGGCCGTCAGTCATCTGATCTGTGAGGACCTGTAATAAATTCCAACTCTTTGCTAGAAAAAATGAAAAATCGAGTTCATGAGTATTCCTTCTCCTTGTTTTGTTTAAATGATAAAATATATAGGCATAAAATGACATTTGAACAATAATTTTGATCCAATTTTTTTCTCAAACGTCTACGTTGAATTCTACTCACCTATTTCAATGTGATATTTTCCTTGATAATTATTTCTTTTAAAGTGCGCATTTCCTGCGTATTACACTATTACAAGCATATATAAATATGTTAAATTGCACCCACTAATACAAGGATGGAGAATAGGACGGAAGACCTCTCGTTGCTGGCAACGAGTTTCTAGTTTATTATTATTTCAATCATCATAATTATTATTTGTTTATTTTGTATTTGAATCTTGTGTAGTCGCTATGTATATGCAGGCTAACAAATTGTGAAATGCATTTAAAAAATAAATTTAAACAAAAAACCCGGACTATCAGACCTATATGACACTGTATAATAAAACACCTATTTCACCTTTTCAATTTCCTATTTCAACAATTTACAAGTATCAAGTACATTATTTTTCTATATAAGAAAAGCTCTCTGTGTATAAGCTTAATGCAAGTGTTTTACATTTTGTGTATGGAAATTTGAGAGAATTTGAGTATTGCCTGTAACACCCCCCCCCCCCCCCCCCCCGGTTTTCGCAGTATTGGAATGTTTTTTTTTTCTTCACCGTTTTCGAATGTAGTGATCAAATTCATGTGTTATGCCTGAAAGCTTACTGAACATGAACATCCTAAAATATATGAATTAATATTTTTCACTCGCCGTGTTGTCGCTGCATGTTAATTCTAATACATGAGTAATGTTTAAAATACCGTTCATTCTGACTATGAATTTCACAATACTAGTGTAAATAAGTTGCTGGTCATCCTAACATGTTTCCGCAATAAGTGAAATGATGAATGAAATGACATTTTGCAACTATGTCACCTTTTAGATCATGCATATTCCAAATGTAAAGATATTTCTACTCGTATGTTAACGTCATTACGTTCAACACATGACGTTGTAGTCATAAATAACGCCATAAACGCAACATTTTGGCAATATAAAAGCAAACTTTGAAATTATTTAGCAAAAAAAAAAAATAGCGAGAAGACATATTTTATTTTTTTATCTCAATAGTTTTAATTTTACCTCATCTGGATATTTTGAAATTCCTGACTAATTTGTCTACGTCTTTAAAAAGTTATCCAACATTTTTTAGAGAAACTGTTTTCGCAAAATTGGCTTAAAAACGTCATTTTTATATATATTTCGATAGTAAAGCGTATAAATAGTACTAAAACTATACCGCATTTACAGTAATACAGCATTAGAACTAGGTAGACAAGTTTGATGAAAATTACAGATAAATGCTATAAATTCTACGGAACATCATATCAAATTTTCGGGATATGTTTTCTCGTGAGAAATTTTAAGCAGTAAACCCGCGACCTACCTTAAGGTTGTATTTAAGAATATTTTTAGATAAGCAAAAAACAACATTTGTCAAATGCATTCTTACTGCATAGGTTTTTATAGTTTGAATTTAATATATTTGTAAGACTTTAAACAAAATAAGCAACTATTTTTCTATTAGGAACTTGTGCTATATATACATTATGTAACATGAACATTTTGGTTTTAAGTTATTTTGGATATTCATTTTTGCTTGAAGGATAAAGAAAACAAGTGTAATAGGTTATACACTAAATTATATTTCATAATAGTCATCCTGTATGACAAATTTTTCTATAAAATGTTACATTACGACTTTCCTAATTTAGATAATTTGCCTAACTTTAACAATTGATTAAAGTTATATTCAAAATTATGATTGTAAAAAATTTGTACAGAATAACTTGAATTCTCTTTTGAATTGCTCATATACCACAGATACCACAGAGTCTGACACATCTGTTTCATATTTGGATATTTTACTTGAAAAAGACGTTAATGGTAATCTAACAACCAAGCTTTATGATAAACATGATGACTTTAACTTTCAATCGTCAACTTCCCTTACTTATGCAGCAATATACCTTCATCACCTGCATACGGGGTATATATCTCTCAGTTGATTCGATACGCAAGAGCATGCTCTACGTATGTACAATTTCTAAAACGAGGTAAATTATTGACAAATAAGTTGATGAAACAAGAATATCAGCTGTCTCGTTTAAAGTCATCATTTCGTAAGTTCTATGGTCGATACAATGACCTTGTCAGCGAATACAATTTATCATTGAGTCAAATGCTGACTGACGTTTTTCATACTAATTGTTAGGCCATTATTTACACACTGAATTGTCGACGGATTTCTCCGTTATTTCGCGATCATGACAAGGACCACACGGCGGGTGTGACCGGTCGGCAGGGGATGCTCACTCCTCCATGGTACCTGATCCCACCTCTGATGTTTGGAGGTCCGTGCTTGCTCTGCTCCTATTTTGTATTGTATAATGGACTTCTGAGCTTGAATACTGTTCGTTATCTCCATATATTTCATTGCTTTATTAATGCTTGTTTAGTTGTTATTGATGTGCGTGATGTGTTTATGTAAATAAAGATTGGGAGTATCAAAGCCGTCAATTAGCGCCCGAGTCCCGTAGTGCATGAAATAAATATTTAGGTACACCAGCAAATTGCGAGGTATCTAACTTTGAGAATGAATGAATGTAAAGCTTTTAAGTAAACGTGAAATATTCGTGTGTTGAAGTTGTATTTAATGTAAAAATACCATACACGTGGAATTTTTAGCAAAACACAAATTAAGCAATTTTTCTAACATCAGGTTCATATAAAATATTTGCATTCTCGGCCATTATTTCCTCATAAATCATTTTATATTTGATATGACAGAAAAAATAACCTTCCTTAAACCAGAATAATCTTAAACTAGAACAAATATTGAACCTCTGCTCTGGTGTAAAAAGTATTTTACTTGGATTTTTCTAAGTTCCAACAGATGTACATTTTTCTTGTATTTCTTAAAAATACAGGAAATTAAAGTAAAATTTGGCTTCATTTTTAAAACCAGATTTAAAAAAGATACATTTCTACTGTATTTTTAACAAATACAGGAAAGTAAAGTAAAATTAACTTTGATTCTTCTTTGTCAGAGTTAACCATAGAAATATAAATAAAAAAATTAACTTAGGAGGAAACAAGACCTTTCAGTTAAAACTGAAGTGATAAGAGAAGTGTACTTAGCCATGACTTTCACTTTTACTTTTTCCTTTAATCTTCAAATACCTACTTGATCACTTAAATCACTTAACCCTAACCCTGATCATTTTCGCTTTTTTTCCTGTACCTTAACTATAACCCTAATCCTTAAATCCCCATTGACCTAAATGTTCACGTAAATCCATGTTCATTTTCGTTTTTATCACTTACCCTAACCTAGAAGCTTCGGAAAATTCCACTATTTCCTATACTATTACCCCCACCTTTACTTAATCCATGTTCATTTTCGTTTTAATCCTGTACCCTACCCCTGACCCTAACCCAACAGTAACCCTAACCCGAACGAGATATAACTTAAATATGCTTTCAAACCTTATATTTTTCAGATATTTGACCATTAGTTATTCTTAACAATCCTGTGCCTTGAAAAAAAACCAGGGCAATGAAAACATGTTTCTCAAATTTACTATAATATCTTGAAGTTCAAGCGAAATCAAGTATATTTCGGCAAAGCATAGACCTTGAATATAAAACACATGCATGCAGCACCGGTCCAGGCACTAAGCATTTCATCAAAACAATTTAGCCCTTTGTGCCAGATGTGTATGTTTTTCAGGGCTTCGGATAAAACTAGATGTTTGTTTGTTTGTTTAACGCCCCTTTCGAGAATTTTCGAGAATTTTTCACTCATATTGAGACGCCAACACCTGCCAGCGGAAGGCTTCAAATTTAGACCTGTACTGGGCACTTACGGCCTTTGAGTAATAAGGGTTCTTTGTCGTGCCAGCACCTACTGCGACATTGCACCTAGGTTTATACGGTCTCATCCAAAGGACCGGACTTCACATCCCGTAGTGGGATTCGAACCCGCGACGTAATTATAAGGATCAACTCCTTACTCCACAACTCTTAGAGTAAACGCCCATCCCACTGTGCCACTATAATTAAATGAATTTTCTGCATTTTTTTTTAATTAAAAATTCTGAGGTCAGTTAAGAATTCCTTTCTATATTATGCAGCAGATTTTTTGCTGGAATGTACCAGAAGTGATGATTAAGCTGTTAAAATATCTCCAATCAAACAAAACAATTCACATATTTATTATCAAAGCTTCAATATTACACAAACCATCAGGTCTGAAATCTACCAAAATAAAATATATATACAATATGTCCTCTCATGTTTTATTTATTAGGTGCTGTACAATATTTTCGGACTAAACAGAGATGGAATTCAGGTTCACCGGAATCTACAACCAGAGCAGGTCGTTTCTTTCTTTTCTTTTCATCGCAGTCAGAATCAGCATTGCATTCACTGCCTGGCAAGCAGCACCAAGGTTTTCTTACACAGCACACATTCTGAAAGGGAACAAGGCAAGAATCTACCTTCTTGTACACATGAAAATAATCATTCTCCTGGATATTATCAGATTATTTTATAGATGTTAGTTGTTTTTGAAGCATATAATCACTGGCTAGTAAATTAAAAACCGACAAATTATTGATTTGGTCAACTACTTTATAAAAGCTCTATACCGTCAAACTCTCGATGAGAACGTAAAAAAAAAACTTTGAAATATCCAAAAGTTCGAGATATTGCCGGTACAATACAACTCTTCAAAGTGCTTTGGACTTCCAATTGGCTTCGACATATCCATGGTATTCAAAATACCAATGTTAAATATACCGAAGTTCAACTGTATTTCCTTTAAATTATGAAGCAAATTAAAAATTTACAAAGTGAATTGACAAGAAAATTACTAACTGATTTGCATTTTACAAAAAAGGTGTTCCAAATCAATCTTAACATTTAAATTGCTATCATATTGTGGTTTCATGTACTCACGTTCTTTAAGAAGTTCTGAAGTCTAGATTTACAGGTTAGTAATATGATTTTACTCCAATTCAATTTATTTCAATAACATGGAGGTGAAATCTATGATTGATAATTCAAGAATCAACCAATAATGATGAAAAAGAAGATTAAAACAAAGTGATCGATACGAATCTGGAAACAAGGCATAAAACGGACCCCTAAAAATTCCAGAGGTAGAATCCGAGGTGCCTAGGAGGAGTAAGCATCCCTTGTTGACCGGTCACACTCGCCTTGCGCCCTATGTATTGGTCATGTAGACGAAATATTTCGTAGTGAAATTTAGTATTTTAAAAGGCCTAACAATTGGTATGCAATATGTCCATCAAATTCCAACCTAATGATGGGTTATATTGCCATCAAGGTCCTATAACGACCATAAAATTAACGGAATGCTGACTTTAAAAGAGGCTGTTGAAATCCCTGTAACATCATCTTATCTGTCAGTAGATGGCCTCGGTTTAAAAATTGATCGTACTCATAGTACTATCATAGACATAAACACAATATGCAGGTGATAGGAGTAAAAATTGCTCAATAAATGCAAGATCGCTACAGTTTTCAATTAATGTTGGTCATTTCTGATAATGGATAATGATCCAAAGGCTCGTAAAGAAAATTCCCCGTAGACTTTGAATATATGCGGTATCTATACTAAAATATCTCAAGTACTACTTTCAAAGCATGTAATTTTGAGATAAAATATCTATTGATCAAAACCGAGTTTGAAATTTACGCAAAACGAAGAGGCTCACTTTAAAAAATGTTAACATTATCCCAAGATAATGAGAAAAGATATCTTTTTTCACGAGAAAAGTTCTTAAAGGACGATAAAAAATCTTAGTATCACATTACTACGAGAAAAAATCTCGTATAAATGAGAAAAGATCGTAATTACTTGGCATAACATGCAAATAATTTTCTTTATTCTCATCCATAAGTCAGGTGCCTGTATATCCAACCAGCCTTCAAAGGCCTTACTAAAAAGGGTGTGTACTAGGCAACTTACGATCACTCTCAACTAGCTATACTACCTTTGGATTAAAAGGCTAAAACAAACTTAAATTATTAATTAATTAATATATTATGCACAAAACACTACATATGAGAGTAGGATCGATATCTTAAAAGAAATCAAGAAAACAGCTTTGTTAAGATTTAGATATTTGGCCTTCTCTGGTATATAAAAATATTATTCCTAGCGAAGTTAAGTTTCAGAGTTTGCCCCTTTTTGGTAAATAAAACTACTAAGACTGATTGATGTGTAGATCCCTGACGAGTATAGGTCTTTATATGTACCTACATAAATGGCTCGTGCTATTTATACTGAAAAACCACTCATAAGTTATATATATATAAGCAATTGACTAAATGCTTCATTCAGAGTTTTGGATTACTACAAGGACGTTACATCATTTTTTTTTTCAAATTAGCTTTTTAAAAAGGCGCCTACAAAACAATTAAAAACAAAAAACGACTTAAACTGTCCAAGCTCGAAAAACCTTTTTCAAGGGTGTGGAGTGGGAATGTTGAAGTTGTGAAAATGTTTTTTTTTTTTATTAAAAAAAAGTTTTCCATGATTGTTAACTAAAGATATACCAGAAAAATAACGCACCATATGCAAAATGTGTATGATGTTTAACATAACATTGAGAAGAAATCCTTTGCTTTTAGGATGTAACTTTCTTCTAACAATTTTAACACATACACTGCAATGAGATCTGCACATCACATGTATTCAAATGAATATAAATACGTCTGTCAACATGTATCCTTTTGTTTTTTTCAAAAGATTTCTTGGTTTGTCTATTATTACAGTCACGTTAAACAACATACAATCAATCAACATATCACTAGAGTCCCCGAAACCTTCTACTTTCCCATTAACCCGTTTACTAACCATTCGTTCACCGTGTTTTCACCGTGCGCTAACCGCTCACTGTTTTGCATTCAGCGTTCACTAACTTCTTGTGTTCACCGTTCACAAAGCGTTCAGCGTTCGCTCACCGTTCGTTCACTTTGCGTTCAGCGTTCACTCATCGTTCAGTCTTTTTAACCCTTCATTGTCATTCGGAACACCCAAGAAAAAGGATTGATCTTTCAAAAAGGAAAAGAAGGAAGTGTGCGCAAGGGTCTAAATCTTTTAAAATTTAATAAGGGACTTACACCGTGTTTAAGAAATAATGATTAAATAGAAAAATGTGTATATTATTTTATAAGCTATTATTTCATAACTTAATATGAAAGCCCATTAATGCCAACCAATATATATATATATATATATATATATATATATATATATATATATATATATATATATATATATATATATATATATATATATATATATATATATATATATATATATATATGGAAAAGCTATATCTAAAGCAGGGATGGGGTAATGGTAATATGTAATGGTAATTGACAGTAATTAATTACAAATTTCGATGTAATTGAATGAAATGTGTAATTGGCCTAATTTTCAATCACATGTAATTGTAATTGAATTAGTTACCTTTAAGAAAAGCATGTAATTCACAATTACTTTTCAATTGCATTCAATTACACTGGTGTTTAATAAATGAGAAATAGTCCCCTTCCCTTTTTTTCAAATCCCAAATACTTTATTCAAGAAAGGTTTACTAATTTTTAGGACAAAATATTCTATAGTATATTTAAAAAAAATCTTTATTTAGTGAATTGCTGTTTCCTCTTTAAAATGCATTTTCTTCAAAACTTTTTAATATTATTTATCTCTTTGTTCATAAATATATTAAATAAAATCAATAATTTCAATTAAGTTGTTTATGAATTGACACTGAAAATATCTAGTCCAATGGCTTCTAATCCTTTGTTTGTCATATCTACAGCTTGTGTAAGAAGTGATTAACAGGTGCTAATTAGTGCCCTAGAGTTATGTACATATTGACACTTAACTTAAATAGAGATTTTACACACATTTTGACCTTTCCTATTGGTAATTTTATACGCATACATTGACTATGTCTTCCCACAAATCTTTTTTTTAAATATATAATTTGTTGTTATAACACCATGGCAATTTTTCTATTTTAATAAAAAATTGTGGGAGGACAAAGACAGTAGTTTAACACACAATATGTCAAATACTATAACAGTTTGAGATGTATAGCTTAGGATGATGAAAAAAGCAGGAAACAAGGCAAAACGCATCCAATGTTTTGCAAAAATATATCAGAAAGCTTAAAAACGGACACATATGAATTAATGGAAAACAGCATCCAGGTCCTGTAAAAGGACCGTGTCCCAGTTGAAAATTGGCTCGTTTTTTCCCAAAATTCAGGTAACAATTCCCAACTGACAACCAAATTCAATTTTTTATTTCTGTTTATACATAGAAATAACATGTTTTGAAATTTTAATCATTTTTAAAGATATGTATCATGTGTATATGGGGAACAAGTCCACTATTTAACTCTTCAATCAACAAATACATATGTCAACAACATTTCCAAATTTTGCCACCTTTTCGATTAAAAATTCACAATTAGAAGGGTACAGGACCCTGTACCAAAAAGGGTCAATTAAGCCCCGAAACTTGCTATATTAGTCAGTATTTACTTATTGCTGTCACAAATGCCCCGGTGTAAAATATCTTCATTGTGGCAAATCTGTAAACCTGATAGATTGATAGATGTAGGTTAGGGGACACAATATTTTAAAATTTCATTAGCATCTACACAATGTTTACTTAATGTAAAAAACAGTAACTGAAACTATATGAATATAAATGAACGTTCATGACTATTGATCATTGTTAATTTTTATATGTTTTTTTCTTAATGTAATTTGTAATTTAATTAATTACATTTGCAAAGTAATTGTAATTTAATTAATAACATTTCAAAATCCTTGTAATGGTAATGGTAATTTAATTGAAGGTTTTGGGCAAGTAATTGTAATTTGATTAATTACTTTCCTATGTAATTGACCCCATCCCTGATATAAAGGCAATCATCGCTAAATATTTCGTATTGCTTATCTTAACTATGCACATAGGAAATCTTCAACTAAGTGCATAGTTAAGATAAACAAGTATGCCTCTTACAAAATGTTGATTTTCATGGCCCCTCATTTCATGGGTTCTAGTGTTAGGGTGGGGCTTTGTTGATTATATAGTGAAAATACATTATTTCTTTGCAAATCTTCTTCTCTGCTCCTTGGCATCTCGGAGCAAACAGAGTACAAAGTTGAAATAACCAAGGGTATTTTTACCAGGTTTTTGAAAATTCTGGACCACTTGGTAAAGTATTTTGGTGCTGGGCAGGGCTCTATTAATTTGTTTCGAGGAGAAAAATTATCCCCATTTTCTATTTGCCAATGATTATCAATCACTGTAAATAATGATTGACAGGTCAATTGAATAAGAGAGTTATACAAATTGTTATATAATATACAATACTGTTATAGTGAAAACTGGGGTAAGTACAGGCAAAGTTAATAGATCTACTTTAAGATTTCTTATTGGACATTAGACTGAATTTTTTTTTACCCCTATCATCCTTTTACTCTTGCTTTTGGGAATTATAGCTTCATCTATCATAAAGAGCTCCTTCCGTCATCCTGTCACTAAATAATAACGCTATTATTCTATTTAAATGTGTATTTCTATTTACAACATGGAACAATAATCCTCACTATATATTTAAGTCTGCACTGATTCGTTCTCTTACGTCATTAATTCCCTAACGTTTGACATTTGTTTTCACACCAAAGTCCTGAAATTATTCACTTTCGCTTTTATCTCTCAAATTCCTTTCCTCACTAAATTCCAACGTACGTGGAAAGCACCGTGCACCTGCAACCTTATCAGCTCTCGCCTCTCTCCCATTTCTATTTCCTATAATTATAAATTTTTCTCAATTGGCGTAATTTTAAATGTTTCTCAATTGGTGTATATTACTTTAAAGTAAAATATTTAAAATATTTTTAAAAAATTAATATCATTATAGGCATAAGAAAAACTGAAATTGTTGAGACTCCATGTTCAAAATTTTCTTCATAATTTCTCAGTTGAGGGACCAAAGGTATATACGGCTAAGTTTTTGTAAAGAGTGAACAAGGAAGGTGGTCAAAATGTAGTTCATCTTGCGTTCACCGTTTATTCACAGTTTACTTTGCGTTCGCGTTTGCGCTCCGGTCGTGTTTTGCGTTGTTCGCTCTTCGTCCAGTGTTCACTTACCGTTCACCAAGTTTCGTTCAGTCTTCACACACCGTTCACCAAGTTTCGTTCAGTGTTCACACACCGTTTACACAGTGTTCACTCACCGTTCGCTCTGCGTTTTGTTCAGCGTTCGTTCTTCGTTCACTCAGCGTGGAAAAGTAGAACGATTCAGGGACTGTAATCAATATCTGAATGTCTTAGCAACATAAACATTGCTAATTAGCTCTTAATTAAATTGACTTATGCTAATTCTTTGAATAACTCTTGCTGCATCATTGATATAAAACAATAATCGGTAGTGTCTGGAATCAACAGTTCCTCGATCTTCACAAAAAAAAACCATTTTCCAATTTTCTGAATTGTGATGTCTCCAAAATTTGATAACTATAAAGAGGGCACAGGAAACTTAAAATCTGAAAATCGGTCAAGATCACTTCTATCATCGATGTTTTGGCTATATCAAGTTAAGACCCCTTTCCTGTCTGTCTTCTCTCTCTCTCTCTCTCTCTCTCGATACGAGCTGGTAAGAATGATGGATGCATTAAATTGTCCGTCTGCTTACGTTCCAGCACAGGGCATCTTATCACCTTATAAGCTCTGTAATCTTTTACAGATATAATAAATACAAAAGGGAAGAATCGAAAGTAGGTCATGATTTGTAAACACTAAAAAAAACAGCTTACTTGAAAAAAAAGTTACACAAATCCTCATATGCAATAATGCAAACACTGTCCTTAAATCTAACCAGAGAAAAATTTTCCAAATACATCCAATGTATATATATTTTATCCCCAAAAATCCCAGCTTTAATAGAGAACAAAGTGGATAAGATGCCCTTTTGGTTCCAGATATGATTTGTGTGGATCATATGTCGAGAAGAGTTAAAGCCAATGAAATAACAGAAAGTCTGATGCAGTTCACTACTGTTGATAATGATTTAGCTTAAACAAAAAGATTAATTGAAACTTACCGCGATATTTCGACCAAGCATGGAAGAACACAAAATTCCAAGTAGTAATAGCAGTTCAAATTTCATCTAGAGGAGAAGTTGCATATGTTATTTAAGCATATATATATATATATATATATATATATATATATATATATATATATATATATATATATATATATATATATATATATATATAAGCACATTTTACAACACCTCTTTAACTAACATAACTGCCCTAAGTGAAGAATATTAATACAAAGAGCAAAAGGAAATTCACTTCTATAAGGATACCCACTTTAACTAACATAACTGCCCTAAGTGAAGAATATTAATACAAAGAGCAAAAGGAAATTCACTTCTGTAAGGATACAGACTTCCGCCCCAACCCGGGGTTGAACTCTCGACCTACGGAATCTGTCTCCTAGCAGTACACGAACAGCGCGCTAGACCGCTCGGCCACCTAGGCAAGTTATAAAACTTGCTTTCGATGCCGATGGAATTCTCGCGGCGCTGTCCTACGCTACACGGTCATTGAGAATGGAAGTGAGATACAGTTATTTGGACATTAGTTTTATTAGAGGATCGTTACCGATACACATTAAAATGAATTAATTTTATTTACAACAGCTCTTAAACTAACATAACTGCCCTAAGTAAAGAAATAATATGTTGACGGTACGTGCGACCGTTAGGGCGAGCGCAGATACCTATGAGTATTCAGTTTTAATTTACAACCGTCTTATTAAACCGCACGTGACTTTTGGTACGTCGATCTAGACTCTGACGTCACATGACGTCGTATGTAAGTTGTTTACCAAATTGTAGCCTGAAGAGTGCTAGTTTAATGAAGAAAGTTTAATCTACTGTTTAAGTGGGGGGGGGGGGGGTTCTGCAAAGTCCATTAAATCAAAGTGATTTAATTTTTGGTTGAACTTGTATGCTACCGCGAGAACGTAGTTCGCGGCGAGATGCAATTCGCAGAGCATTATGGGACAACAGGTTACTGCTGGAAAAAAATTCGTTTGGATCAATGTGCAAATCCGAATTTTCTCTTCGCTCAGGCGTTGCTTTAAGAGCTCGCAGTGACAAGCGCCGCTTCGCGCCGCTCGCTGCGCTTGCTATCAATACAAATAGCAGAAGGAAATTCACTACTATAAGGATACCCACTTCCGCCCCAACTTGGGTTGAACACTCGACCTACGGAATCTGTCTCCTAGCAGTACAGGAACAGCGCGCTTGAGAATGGACGTGAGATAGTTATCATCGATTTCTTCACTTAGGGAAGTTATGTTAGTTTAAGAGTTGGTAAAAATGTGCTTTTTAAAATTAATTCATTACAATCCTCTAATAAAACTAATGTCCAAATAACTGTATCTCACTTCAGGGGTAACTGTATCTCACCTCCATTTTCAATGAGCGTGTAGTGTAGGGCAGCGTCGCGAGATTTCCATCGGCATCGAAAGCAAGTTTTATAACTTGCTTAGATGGCCGAGCGGTCTAGCGCGCTGTTCCTGTACTACTTGGAGACAGATTCCGTAGGTCGAGAGTTCAACCTCGGGTTGGGGCGGAAGTTGGTATCCCCTTATAGGTGAATTTCCATGCGCTTTCTACATATATATATATATATATATATATATATATATATATATATATATATATATATATATATATATATATATATTAAAATAAAATCCAAGATAAACAAACAAGTTCACATTTAATTATTACACTAAGCGCTTTCGCCGTGAGGCTCTTCAGAGTGTAATAAAGTTTATAAAAACAATACAACTTGGTTGTTATGACGTCGTTATTGTGACGTCATAAAGGCAGCATTATATATTGGCGCAGGTAAATGTCATTAGGGCGCCAAAAGTAGAGAATTGAACATGTGTACATTGTGATGAAATAGACTGCTAATTTTAAGCTATAATGTTCAATTTACATTTAGTTTAGGTTTAAATAATTTAACAAAGTAATCTTCCTTGGCTCTCCGTCATTGTTCATTATTTTCTAGAACTTTATAAAAAGGAAATATAAAAAAGTTTCCATTCGCACATGAATCAAAATGTTCACTGCATGGCGTATTCCTGACAGAAGGGTCCCGTATTTGTTGTTTATGGACTCTTACGCGGTCAGCTAGTTTGTTACCGGTCTGTCCAATGTAGTTTTCCCCGCATGAAGTACAAGTCATACAGTATATTAAATTTTTAGATTTGCATGACATATTCGCATTTACGGTAAATGTTTTACCACATTTAAAAGTAAATGACTTGTACTTCATGCGGGGAAAACTACATTGGACAGACCGGTAACAAACTAGCTGACCGCGTAAGAGTCCATAAACAACAAATACGGGACCCTTCTGTCAGGAACACGCCATGCAGTGAACATTTTGATTCATGTGCGAATGGAAACTTTTTAATATTTCCTTTTTATAAAGTTCTAGAAAATAATGAACAATGACGGAGAGCCAAGGAAGATTACTTTGTTAAATTATTTAAACCTAAACTAAATGTAAATTGAACATTATAGCTTAAAATTAGCAGTCTATTTCATCACAATGTACACATGTTCAATTCTCTACTTTTGGCGCCCTAATGACATTTACCTGCGCCAATATATAATGCTGCCTTTATGACGTCACAATAACGACGTCATAACAACCAAGTTGTATTGTTTTTATAAACTTTATTACACTCTGAAGAGCCTCACGGCGAAAGCGCTTAGTGTAATAATTAAATGTGAACTTGTTTGTTTATCTTGGATTTTATTTTAATTTATAACCTACCTATACCGTGGACTTTTACTACAATTTCACTATATATATATATATATGACTGCCGTCATGAGAAAAGGGCCCTTATCTTTTGACGTCACAATGCACAGAAAACGACGTCAAAGTTGCAGTATTGAAAACACGGACTTCAAGTATTTTTTGTTGACTGCGTCGTGAACAAGAAATAAAATTGGATTTCCAAGCGTATCCCACCCCCCAGTCAAATAATATGAAATTTGATACGGACATTTTTGATAAATTGTATTGTTATTATTTAGTACATGCATTCATTCATAATTCTGTTTAAGTATTTAACTTGATATCACATAATTAATCTCAACGCGACATTGAACACATTGTTACGTAGAGCGATTTATAGCGATGTCTGTACATTACGCACAACTAAAGATGCTGTATATTTGTTTTCTGAGCAATTTGCAAATGCTTAAATTTGACTCATATTAAGTAGACTTAATATTAAAAAAGTATTCTACATAAACGTTTATGTTTTTTCAAAGAGAATGGGAGAGAGAGAAATCAATTCAATAATATGCGTTTTTTATAAGTGTTTCTTTATTCTGAAAAATACCTTCATATAAAATGTATTTAGTCATTTTAATTTTAATCCATAGTTAAACATATTGATATGCACAGTTAGACCAGCTCAGTGTGAAGCGCCGATTTCTCTGTGTGTGTGTGTGGGGGGGGGGGGGGGTAATTGACAAGTCAAAAAAATCTCTGAATGAAAAGGCAACCGGTAAAATTTCAAATTAAAAAAGTGAACCCATCTTTCTTTGGATACAGATACCGGTAACATAGGAGATTCGAATCTCCTACTAAAACAAATAAGGAGCAAGAGAATATGCTAAGGAAAAAACGGAGGAAGTGGGTGCCACGAAAAATTTGCTTAAAAAACAATTTTGCAATAATCAAACAAATACATTAAAAAGTAGTCTTTGATAACAATTACTATTTTATCAATTTTCTTAAATTGTTCCGATAAAAGCCGGCTTGAAATTGAACTGCAACAATATGTTTTAAATTAACAACAGGTAATACGTGGACTTTTTCTAGCAGCATTACATGTATATACTCAATGTTGAAGATAATAACAATTCCATCGCCAGTGATATTATGATTGAAAGTATTTATGAAACATACAGAGGAAACAACAGATTAAACAATAGATTAAGTTGTAAAGAAATTACAAACTTCTGATAAATGTTGAATTGGCGACATCTTTTGAGAATAAATCACTGATAGAGGAAAAGTACTAGTAACAAGTGGATATGAGTGTCATATTCAGATGTCATCAACCACATTAACACCAATCGCACGACAACAAAGACAATCAAGAAATCTACATTTTGAGAAATATGAACTTCAAACATAAAAGCACTGGTGATGTTTAGAACGGGAAAAAAACGGAGGTTCATGTAAAACTTTGATGACCGTGAAATATGTAAGGAAGAAATTTTTTTGTACCGACTATATAGAATTCATGTATGTAATAAATTGGTCACGTTTCGCATTGAAATCTTGGACGTCGAGTCTCAACTCTGATATCTCGATACCCCGGATATTTTGACATTTTCTGAAGTTCTGTTGATGCCGGGATACTGAAGTTTATACCTGTATAGGACTTTAAGGAAAATGATTTTAAAATCAAACACACACACCTTTCTGCTTTTAAAGACAAAAAAATCCAATAACTAGGAAAAATGGTTTGCCTATTTACCTTTAGCTTTCAGGACGAAAGCAGATACTTAGTCGCCTGTGAAGAGAGTCAAGTTAGTGCGGACCGGTAGAGTTTAAAATATGAAAAGCTTAGGTGTCAGGATATAGCTGATGTCACAGAGGAAGATGAATAAATGGCCTTAATTGCGTAAAAATATATTCAAGTCTCGCAAGATATTCAGTTTCAATTTCAAATAGATTTTGTCAAAATTGTAATGCAACTGTACTTCAATTCCCACAGAAAAGTTCAGCTCCGTTTAGTGTGCATATATAAAAAAGAGCCATGGGCAGTACAACCATTTCTTTGAACAAACTTTACAATGTTTTTAAAGAACTTTCCGTAAATCTGAGTTGGGAACCAGACAATCGTTGTAATTATTGACTTGCAATAACATAAGTTGTTAATATCTGACGAGATTTTATCAATTTCAGGAATCCAGAAGGATATTATTTCACATGAAGCGCAATATTACTAGGAATTTCATTTTTCTAGGATTGAAATGTCGAGCTTTAATAAACTTAAAAATGACACGGAACAGCTGCCGGCTATATTTGTATGTCCAGCAAGTGAGAATTAGTATCTGGCAATATGATGGCGAGAACTTTGCCAATTCATTAGGAATCTTTTTTACAGGAAAAAATTCAATAATGTTTCTTATTGAGATAACAGTAACGGCCCTTTTCAAGAAATGATGCACGATTCTTGTGTCCAAGTGATACAGCAGTAGCGTCGAAGCTACAGGTGCCTCCCAAAAAAAAGAGATCAAAGTACATTTATAAATGCTTCTGATTAACTGTGATTTACTTAAAAAAGAAGTTGACAAAAAGTTCAAATTTCACTGAATAAACTTTTATAAGACAATCCTTTGAGATTACTATGTGCCTCTTTTTAATCTTTCTACTCCATAACTGTACAGGCGAAGTAATTGAACTGTATGGACAATGGAAACTTAATTATTTAAACATTTTTTATGAAAGTATTTCCAAAAAAAAAAAAAAGTTATTAAAAAAAAATCCGCTTTGTAGTAACGAACTCTTTTCTTTATTTATGACTTTTTATGAACGGTTTAAATGTTTAAAAAAAAAAACAACAAAAAAAAAAAAAAAAAAACAAAAAAAAAAAAAAAAAACAATTTTACACATCTTGGCGTATTGGAATTAATTTCCCATTAGAATTATTCGGTGATACAGAAAATAGGGGTGTTATCCTCTCGTTACAAAGTTAGAGGGAATAAAGTAACGCGGCGTGTGTGTAGGTGAGTGAATGCGTGCTTATACTCGAAAATAATATATATTTTAAATCGGGATCAATGTGCTTTATTGCGAGGGGATGCCCCGTTTTGCGCACGGTGTCTTCTTTGGGTTGGATCTCTCCTTTCTCTATGGGGCATCTGTGAAGTGTTTTTTTTTTATGTTCTAATGTTACAAGTTCTTTATATATTTTATAAATTGAGCTAGAGTATTAAATATAAAAAGAATCCCATTTGTGGAATTGAACAAGTGTTATTTTTTTGACTGCATATAAACCATTTCTAGATCCTGTCTAGACCTCCACCCCCTTTTTACGAAATTACTAGATCTGCTCTAAAATATATGAACTAGACTTTCCTTAGGAAGAATTACATACGAGTTGCTTTAAAGAAAAAAAAATAATTTTCTCAAGTTTATATGTATCAAAACGAATAAGATTATTTAAAAAAAAATCAAAAATGATTGGAATCTGAATTTGACGCACGCGACGTCATTACGTTTTCAGATAGTAACGTCAACGTTGTTTTGAAGCGCCTTACTAAAATGCTCATAAAATACTGAAAAAGTGAGATATTTTAAATATTTATGTAAATTTGCATTCAGAAAGAGTCAGGCTATGAAAATTAACCAAAAAGTCAATTTGTGAAATTTTGACCTTAAGGGCCCTTTTCTCATGACGGCAGTCATATATATATATATATATATATATATATATATATATATATATATATATATATATATATATATATATATATATATATATATATATATATATATATATGTACAATTTTAAAAATGAAACACGAAAACGTTTAGTAAAGCTTTAGCGCTTTCATTTTCAATCTTCAGAAGCTTCTGAAGATTGAAAATGAAAGCGCTAAAGCTTTACTAAACGTTTTCGTGTTTCATTTTTAAAATTGTACCTATAATTTACCGAGCACTGTGGATTTATATTTATATTTCAAGATAGATAGATAGATAGATAGATAGATAGATAGATAGATAGATAGATATCTTTGGCGATCATCTCTATAGAATGGTAGATTTATAGAAACATTAGAGACACGATTTGCATCCAATATTCATATTTTAGGTCCTCCTGTGCAATCTTCAGCATAAAAACTTTAGCTTTGTGCTAATTCCCTATCATTATAATTATATATATCGACTATTACAAATTTGCAATCTTTTTTCTGTATTTTTTTACCAATATCCAATATTCAGCAATACATTTCCAAAACCATTTTTTTTTTTACGTCTGATTGTTTTCCTTCACAGCAGTTAATGTTTTGTGATGAATAAGATACGGGCTTGGTAAAATATTTATTGGATCCTGCGATGTATATCTTTCTTTTTTTTTCTTTTGAATTCCCTTATAATCACTTCCGTTGATTAGATTGTTACATGTATTTAAAACTAAAACATAATTTTGAAAAATTTCCAACTTTAATAGGGAATTCTGAGCCCAGTCGGATTTATCAGAATCGGAATTAAAAAACCGTTGTTCTAAAATGCAGTTGTATAATGAATTTTACAAACAAAGACTATATTGCTACATGTACCAGCTTTTTCTAATTTAAATTAGCATTGCAAGTAAAAAGGAAATATCGTAGAATTTCATTCTTCAATATTTTTTTTAATTAATTAAATTCCAGACTTGTGTATTCTAGACTATTTTTTGCTTATGTTTTCTTTAATTTTGACCCATGTGGTTCCCAAAAATGAATTAACAATCAGATCTTTATTTTTACTCAACCTTACTTTTACAATTTTATGGATCTTTTCGTGCCTCAAAAATTTCTCACATTTATAAAAATGTTCTTATAAATTATGAGAATTATGAAGAAAGGAAAACTGACAAAGAGAGATTTCCTTGATAATGGTAAAATATAATACGATTTCTAACAGATAAATGGGTACATAATCACGTTTTTATTGATGCTATATGTAGTATAACTTACATACCTTGGCGGTTTATGCTGTTGAATCGAGACAATATACTTAAGAAAATTTAAACTGTCCCTTATACACGTATGAGTCTCCAAGACTTTCTTATTTCTGACTTAGGTGATATTCTATTTCTCCGTTTTACGTGTATTCCGGGCAATCAAAAGGAATATGGTAATTCATACGAAACAGTTGCAGCTGCTCGAAATTTAAAACCAAAAAACAATTGTTCATTATATTGAGAGATTTTTCTTTATTTCATCGATTCAGTTTTAACAAAGGATGGAGTGGAACATATGTTGGATCAGTTCATGTCGCAGTTTTAAAAACTATAATGATTATGAATTTTGTAGATATCATTATAGGTGCCTTATTGATAAACAGAAATATAATCATAATCATCTACATGTATGCATGATACATACATGTAAATAACAAACTTTTTATTTGTCTTTCAAGTATTTTTCATAATCTCATCCTATTAGCTTCTCAAGGATCAGAATTGCATCAAGTAAAATTTGAGGTGTTTTTTAAAACTACATACAAATATAGTGCTTGGTTAACAAAATAAATTGGATCATTTTTTTATTTAATCCATAACTCAACTATCATTTTGATCATTTTTTTTTATCAAAGAGTAAGGGCCACTTAGGGCCTTTTTGGCCCAGTAAATTTCTGAAAATCAAAACTGCATAATTTTACTAGACAAGGCAATAAATATCACTTGAACACTTGATGACGGAATTTCTGCTAAAAGTGACGTAATTTTCCTGCTAGTCAATGCATTATGTCGTCATGAATTGCGTCATTATTCACATATCCCGAATATTTTTTCAAAAATGGCCAAAATATGATGCTATTTTTCAATATTTCGTATACAGCACAAACTCCGATCCAAAATGTGCAAATATATTATGAAAGAACTGCTTATTAAGATTATAAAACATATTTTAATTTTTAGATCGAGGGGTGTGCTCAAATTTTAATTCTTTGTTGAAGGTTCTCAAATTCACCTGTTTTCTGCAAAATTCAAGAACACTTCAATTTTACACAACCTGTTTCCCAGTACCTGGACTCTTTAGAGGAAACTTTTATATACAAACTGAAAGCGCCAAGTCTCTACTTTATATTGATGTTAAGAAAGGGCCATAGTGTGTTAGTAGATAAATTAGTTTATCTACAGGGCCATTTTATGCATAAAGTGAACCTAGCTCTTTATTAGGTCACCTGAATCACTCAGGTGACCATTGCTATCCGCTTTGTCTGTCGTCGTGCGTCGTCTTTAGTGCGTTCTTTACAAAACCCTTTTCTCTGCTCCTGGGTATTATTTTAACAAATTAAGTGTATGGTTATGAAAAGCAAGGGTGTCTCTTTCATAATTGTGAAATTCATGGCCCCAGGGTCAGGAGACCTGGTTGAGAGGGGGTACTCTATTGATTATATAGTGAAAAAGCATAACTTCTCTGAAAATATTCTTTTCTGATGTTCTGGTGTAAAAGTGGGGCTCTATTGATAATATAGTGGAAATGCATTAATTCTATTAAATAATCATGTCTGCTCCTAAGTAATGAACAGATAAATAAAGTGCATAGTTATAATGAACAAGGGTGTTTCTTGCAAAATTTTTAAAACTTGTGGGCCCAGGGTAAAGGGTTCTCGGGGTGGGGGAGACAAAAATTACTTATCAAATAAAGATAAGTGTATTTTTTTCAACATATAATTGATTGCACACTAGCTCAGACACTAGAGCGGTTGCTCCCTAATTGAAAAGTCGAGTTCAAACCCATGTCACGAATAAAATGGTCGAAAAATATGTAGCAACTGTTCCTCTGCCAATCGACCGGTATTTTGAAATGAGAGTTGCATGTCTTTGACATTTGATGATCTCCCACTTTTCACTGACATTGAGTGCCGAGTAAAGGAGATGAGGCCCTAGACTGGCATCTATCGATGTCTTACATGATTGCATTAATCTTGCAAGAAACATTCAGGATTATCTATAATTCAAAATTTTTACTTCTGCTCAGATTTACGCCGTCTTTGTTTACCGAATTTTTGACGAAACCTATACACTAGACAGATTGAAACACACTCATGCACACATACTCAAAAATTTTCTGAACAACCAAATTTGATATATATATATATGGTTTTTTAGCATGTGTGTGAAAACAAACGGATTGTCTCTTTTCAATCATGTGTAAAATCTAGGTAAAATCTAGATTAAAAAAAATAAATTGTTATGCAAGCCAAACAACTGGCTTTAATTAGAGTAAACCATCAGACCATGATGAAAATTGAAAAAAAATATTTTTTTTAATTAGAGTTTGAGTTTGAAAACATGTTGGTTCCTAATCGACTAGGCTCTTACTGTGGTATAACCATGACGCAGATTTTCTCTGGCACTGGGGAATTGAACTGTGGAGTAGCAGCCATATAAAACAAATGACCAATGAAGAACCATAGGTCATAAAAATTACAACAATCAATCAATGAACATGTAATTACATTGTATATGCAAAAAAATTATAAAGCTTTTTCAAGAAATTATTTAATTGATCAAATTAAGAACTCATATACGAAAACATACAGTCTAATAATCAATTAAAATGACATGACTGACGGCAAGATTTTAAACTTATGGTGTCAGACAGGTGACTATTAATGCAGGGAAATAACAACTGAGGTGAATGAAAATGACTAATACTTGTGAACGTTTGATGGAGATAAACAATAAAATATTTCTCTGTTCACTTCTTCACGAAAAAATTACACAAATTTACATTCATCTTCTTAGATTTTAGGAATTTCTCTTACATCCATTGCAATCTTTCAAGGTTACCTGAGCCATTCAGGTGACCTGTTGTTATCCGTTTTTGTCCGTCGTCGTCCGTCGTGCGTTAACTTTTGAATATTTTCAACTTTTTCTCTAGAACCGCTAATCCAATTTCAACCAATTTTAGCATATAGCACCTTTGGGTAAAGGTGAACAAAAATTGTGAATTTCAAAGTCCCTGCTCTCCTTGGGCCCGAGGGGTGGAACTAAAACCACCAAAATTTATGCTATCTTTAAAAATGTTCTTCTTTACTCCTGGACATCAGGCAGTCAAACTGTTGGCATGATTGTAATAAGCATTGGGTCCTCTACCAAAATTGTGAAATTCATGGCCACAGGGTCAGGGGTTCTGGTGCTAAGGCGGGGCTATATAGATCATATAGCGGAAGTGCAATAATTTTTTTTTTTTTGAAAATCTTCCTCTCTTCTCCTGGGTACTACTAGTATTTAAACAAATACTATTTGAGTTGTTACTGAATACTAGACTTATGATTTCATTGATCCTGATCATCCTATATTTTTTTGCTTTTGGGCAACAAAGGTTCATCTATCAGTTTATTTTATACTCTATGGATCCTCTAAATTTTTGTATTACATGTATACTCAGGTGAACGTTAAGGCCCTTGGGCCTCCTGAATTTTTTTTAAAGAAACTAATTATCAAACCTGACTGTTTATAATTCTTTAAAAACTTACGCTGTCATGCTTTATTAAAATTTATTTTCTTCTTCATTTAAATATATACATATAAATATAAATATATAGTACCCAATTGTTTTTTATGTAAAAGTTAAAAATAATAGTCAGTGATCAATCTAACAAACTCAGTACACAAAATGAATCGTGAACAGGGCAAAAACCCTTGGAAACACAGAGATGGGACCAGGTGCCTAGGAGGAGTTAGCATCCCCTGTTGACCGGTCACATCCACCGTGAGCCGTATGTATTGATCACGTAGACGGAACATTCTGTAGTCCAAATTTGTATAAAACAAAGGCCTACCAATTGTATGAAACGCATCAGCCCAAATACGACCCAGACGTTTGCATTGATCAGGTAGACGGAATATTTTGTAGTCAAAATGAGAATAACAACAATGACTTAACAAATGATATGAAACATGTCAGACAAAATACAACCAAACGATAGGTTTGTATGATCGTGGAATTCCTAAAAGCTGACATTAACCGAGGTTGTTGAAATCGTGGTAAGATCAACGTATTTGTCAGTAGCTTGCATTTCAATTACTTGGGAGACAAAAACATGATGCGCAGATGATATTGGAATATTACTACATGTATATAAATAAGGAGAGTTGATGATGGAAAAGCGGACGGCATCCCGTCTGTCATACAGTTTAGTTTAGTTATTTGTTGGTCACTATCGTCTTTAGTTGTTGCCTGAATGGAAATTATTTTTTACCTCCCTTGTGTGCATCGTTTCCTAAATAACCCTACACGTTAAGTTACGTATCTTTTGAAAAAAAACCTCATCAACTTAGCATTCCATGTTGCTCAAAATGAAAAAAAAAAGATAATTAAACATGGTAGGTTAATTATTGGAATGCTTCTCAAAACCTTGATTTATAGTTTTTGTTTAATTTTGTGATCCATTCGTCTTTTCTCGTTTCTATTTTTATTGGCTTGATATAAAATAAAAGTATCATTTTCAGCAGCTGCATTACATTTTGGATTCACTTTACATGATAAAAATCAATTTCACCTTCTAGCTATTACCTTGTTCTAAAGAGCAGATGTTCTCGATTTGGATTCTTTTTTAGCCTTGAAGGGTTTAATTTCATTGATGTTACATCTTGCTTTCCATTTGATAGGCCAGTCAAATCTACATGTACATAGAGAGCTTTTACCTTGGTTAAAAATCCTCCATAAGACTCAGTGCACTCTTAATTTGAAATGAGTGGTAGGTTGAACAGAAATGTTTCTTTTAATGGATCCTTTTCTCATCTAATTTTACTTGACAGTCATTTGAATTCAATATAAATATAAAAAAAAATAATGGAAATAGCAGTGAAGGTAGAATAAGAATAATGTGTAAATATTTAAATACACTGCCTATTTGACTAGAATGACGAATTTACTGTAAACAGTTTGGATTACTTTCATTTGTTCTGCTTGATCCGGGACATTTATTAATGATCCTAATAAAAAAATCAAGATTTTTTAACTTTGAATTTGGTCAGGTGAGT